AGCCTTCCGGCGTGTCAGCCACTCCTCCCAGTTTTGTGTCATCAGCAAACTTGCTGAGGGTACACTCTATCCCTTCATCCAGATCATTGATGAATATATTGAACAGGACTGGGCCCAGTACTGACCCCTGAGAGACACCACTCGTTACTGACCTTCAACCAGACTGCACCACTAACCACAACCCTCTGAGCTCTATCTGTCAGCCATCCCGCTCCCCTCATTCCCACAGACCCTTCAGCACACACTTACGGATGCTGAATTGCCCCGTAGCCTAATTAATAGTGGGAACTCCATGCTGATCCAGCACTTTGCATCCGCATTGCCGAAGCGGTGCTGCCAAGGCAGGCAGCAGGCTGTCTGCAATCCACGGATTCGGCCGTCAGCGGGTGGCTTTGCATTCCCGTGGCTGGGGCATCCCGGTCCCCCCGGGATCAGGCAGTGCTGGCTGGAGCTGGGCGACTTGCCCCAGTGAAGGGCTGGGAGCCTGCACACACCTGAGCATCCCGAAGCCCGGAATGCGGCTTGCGGCCAGATTCATGGGAAACAGCGTCTCCTCCGGTCTGTGGTTTAGGCTGGTCCTTGCTAGCTAAATTGGATATCCCGCGGTGGGATCCAGTGGGGTCCAGCTGCCCTGGACATCATTGCTGGGACGGACCATCCTCCCTCGGTGCAGCCCGGGGCTGTAGGACAGCCGTCCCTGCTCAGCCCCACTCCACGGCTCTGCCTTCCCTTCCCTTTTCCATGATTAACCTTAAAGAAGGGAAAGATTTGGCCTGTGAGAGTGGGGCACGACGGCTCTGATCAGCACCACGGTGCTCCACCAAGCCTGGGGGTCCCTGGGGGCTACCCTGACACCGGGCTCACCACCCACAAACCAAAAAGCCCCCCTCAAAAAAACCTAAAAAGATTATAAATTCCTAAATTATACGCTCCATATGTAAGGAAACAGCAGCAGCATGGGAAACTGGAGCAGGCGGGACCCCCTGTTCCTGGCACAGGCTGCATCCCCCCGGCGGTGCCGGTGGCTGCCGGCTCTGCCAGGGCGGCTCTCTCTGGGGCCAAGGCTGGTGCTGGCTCTGCCCGCCACCCCCTCGCCCCACCAGCCGGGCCGGTGGGGACACACGGGTGCCAGGAGGCCATGGGTGTCCCCCGGCGGGGGCCGGGCTCTGTCAGAGCCCCCCACGCCAGCTTCCAGGTTTCAAGAATAGTCTTTTCCTGCTGGTACCAGTGCAGGGGGCTGGGGCATGACCGTCCCTCCCGCGGTGGGACCCCCAGCCACTGCACCCAGACAAGGGGGGAGCAGCTCTCGCCCACGATGGGGATTTTCCCCTTTTTACAGCACGAACAGGAAGCGATCCGTCCCTTGGCTGGGGTTTTCTTAGCTCTTCAGGGGTATGGGATGCTGCTACAGACGTGCACTGGCCCAGGCAGTGATCCTAACAGGTGATCAGATAATCAGGGCAGAGAAAATAATGCTTACGGTGTGTTTTTCCGAGGATAAATCCCTATTTTGCAGGTATAATCAGGCCAGTTTCCAAAGCAGGAAAGGCCATTTCTATTTCTCCATCACCGAGCTCGGCAAACAACCCTACCTGTGGAGCAGGATCGGATGCTTTATCGCATTCCCCTGTTTGTGTTTATGACAGGGCTGGCTCTTCAGCTGTTGCATGAAAAATACCAGGCCTGCCCTCGTTTGCATTGGGCTTCACACCCAGCCTAAGCCGATACCGCGCCTCCTCCTGCCCCTGTCCATCAGACACCCCAATTACCCTCCGCAGCGATTGCTCAAACCTCTTCTACCAGCACAGGGGGCTGCTCCTTCCTGACCCGCACCAGCTGGCTCGCCACACGCGATGGAGAGGGATGCATTCATCCCCGGCCATCCCAGCGACACCGGGAAAGGGGAATACATCTGTGGGACCAGCAGCATCCCGTGCCGGCACTGCCCCATCCCATCCCGGTGGCGTGGGAAGCTTCCCACAGCAGTGCCCGGGCCAGCCGGGTGGGGTGAGCGTGGAGAAGACTTTTAATTACACAGCACCGAGTGTTTTTCCAGTTGCGGAGGGCCGCCTGCATACGCTTTACCTGCGCCGGGTTCCATTAGTCCTGTTTGACAACAAATTGGCAATTAATAATAACTTTGCGTGATGCAAATGGGTTATGAATGTTCTGCAGATTGATTTTTTTTTTTTTTAATGCCTTTGCATTTGCTTCCAAGTGCAGCGGTGTTTTGGAGCTGGGATTAAGTATTTTTTTTTTTTGCTATGAGCTAGAAAAGCCGGTGTTTAGGGATGCAAAAGCAGGGTGCATCAAGCAGAGTGTGGCCAGCAGGTCGAGGAAGGTCATCATCCCCCTCTACTGTGGCCCTGGTGAGGTCACATAGAATCATAGAATGGTTTAGGTTGGAAAGGACCTTGAAGATCATCCAGTTCCAACCTCCCTGCCATGGGCAGGGAAACCTCCCACCAGCCCAGGTTGCTACAAGCCCCTTTCAACCTGGCCTTGAACACCTCCAGGGATGGGGCAGCCTCAGCTTCTCTGGGCAACCTGTTCCAGTCCCTCACCACCCTCACAGTAAATTTCTTCCTAATATCTAATCTAAATCTCCCCTTTTCCAGTTTGAAGCCATTACCCCTCATCCTATCACTACATGCCCTTGTAAAAAGTCCTTCCCCAGCTCTCCTGGAACCCCTTTCATCGCCACACAAAAGTTTGGGCTCAGGGCTTTCCTCTTGACT